CACTCTGGTACATTTCCTTGAACTGTACAGTCTTGCAAACATTCTTGTAATCTTGAGTGCAATCCTGTCAGTTTCTTGAACCAAAACCCCTGAACTAGATCCGGGCAGCTGCTTTCCAGTTTGCCATCCCGTTCACTCCAGTTCTAATGTCTTTCGCAGTGATGTTGATATCCCCTTGTAATTCTGTTTTGCTGAACTCCACCACAATGTCCTCTAGCCAAGATGTGCTCTCGTTACGACCGACTTCCTCCGACCAGATCTTGCTCCAGAAGGAGGTTGCTTCTGTGGGGTCAGGTAGTGCTGTTTCTCCTGGCTTTTTACCATCTAGTGTTTCGTAGAACAACTTCTGGTTGGTTCTGAACAGGTTGTTCTATTTGAACTGTTGACATCTCTCATCGTATCTCTTAATCTTAATTCCACCTGCCTTGGTCTTCTGTTTCAACATGCCTGGGGCATACAAAGTGCCCCTTTCCTCTAGCTGGTATTTTTTGTTCAACCTTTCCCTCTCTCTTTGTTTCAATCTCATTTTTCCTTTGCGGATTTCCTCAATCTTGCTCAGGTCATTTCTCCACGTTTCGATATTCCTCTTAATCTTTCTCTTCCAGAGTGGCTCTTCAGTTCTTCTCCCTTTTCTCCCTTTTATCATTCCCATTCTTTCTGTAGTAACATATGCAGCTGCAAACATTAAAGAATTCAGCTCAGTGATGCTGTGCGTCTGAATCCTTTTGATTATTATTGTTATGTTATTATTATTATTATTATTATTAATATTAATCATCATATCATCTAAACAAGAGTACTTAGCTCTATTTTGTGATGCCACTCCTTGTTGGTCTTCTAATGTACTCAGTTTTACAGTGGTTGAGGTATCTGTCTTCCGCAAATAAACGAATCCGTTCTTCACCCAACAGTATTTGTAGTTATTTGCGTCCTCGAATTTTTTACTCTCAAATAGTAGCTCTTGCAGCCTTGGTGTAAGATGATCATACACGTTGATGTGGCTAACATCTACATCGCTACTTAAGCCCAAATCTTCTGCATTTAGGTTGGACACTCCTCTTCTGGCTGCCATGACTTTCTCTGAAGCTATCCTAGGCACGAATTTGTAAATGATGGCGTTGGGTCTGTTGGAAGTCACTCTGGATGGCACCCTATGTGCAGTGTTGATATCTGTCAATGATGCTTCTTCAACTCCCAAAGCAGCGAAGAGCGACAAACAGAGTTCGGCTGTTTGTTGAGATGTTTCCCGTTCGGCTACATTTGGTACACCCACGATTTTGATATTGAATTGGTAGCTGTATGCTTCAGGGGTTTCGATATATTTTCTAATCTGATCGCACAAAGCTGAGATTTGGTTAACTCTTGAGATGAGCTCCTGAATTTGTCTCTCAGCTTCCATTTTGAAGCAGACGAGGTCGTCATATTGACTTGACATAAATTCAATAGATTGCTCATTTCCTGGTGACAATTCTCGTTCGACGTGTCGGCCATATTGATTCTTTGACAGGTCGTCGGAAACTTTCTGCAGTTTGTTCTCTAGTTCTTAAATTTCACTACGTAAAGCTTGATTTTCCTTTCGTAGTTTGTCGTTATCCGTCATACTAGTGGTTTTCAGGATATGTAGGTTCAGGGTAAGAGAGAGATTTGTGAGAAAGCTCGGTACACTCAAAGACACGTCTGCACAGCTCAGCGCACACGCAATTATAGACATATGCAGTTGTCACAAGCCCCAAAGTTAACGCCCCAAAGTTAATTCCCAAAGCTTCAAATCCACGTTTGTAAATATGTTAATTTTGAAGTATGTACGGTTCAGTTCAGTTTTAAATATATTGTAACATAGGATATGTGTTTTTATCCTTTGAACTGAAATAAAGACTATATCATTATCATTATTATTATTATTATTATTATTATTGTTAATCCACCAAAATGAGTAGTGTAGCTCGCTTGTGTATGATAGCATTGAGTCTTGTTCCTAGGGCTACATGAAAATCCCGAAGTAGGTGCCTCGACAAATTTTAAAGCGGGTCAGGTCAAGAAAAATAGGTCATTTTTTATCAATTAAACTTTTTAGGAATAAGAGTTCTTTAGTTTTTATAGCTAATGATAAATTGTACATGCTGCTTCCTCTATCAAAGTCAAAGTCTGAAAACATTTAACAGTGAATACTAGGACCGCTCAAAAAGCACCCGCCTATAGGTGAATATTTTCGCAAACATTTCCCATCATGATTTTTGGTTTATTCCAGAGCAAAGTCAGAGTAATCCTTGTCAGCAAAATATTAACTATTCAGACGAAAGCATCGTGTGATTAAGAGAAACAGAAACAAGTGCGCAGTTAAACTGCAATCCGCGAATGTTTTCTCTCGATACATCTCAGCCATACTTCAACACTATAAAACTCCACTTAAATATATTTATAAAAATTTGTAGAGATGGATTATTTGGTCGAAGACGATAAATGTCTTCGACCAAGTAATCCATCTCTACAAATCTACATTGCTCTAGGTTACCTATTGAGCACTTTAATAGCTGATGAAATCTTCAACTCATTATATTTACTACATTATATATATATATATAAATATAATATA